GAGAGTGCGCAGTTGCTCTACCTCCTCCATTAGGGACAGTTTATCCTCTCTTTCCCTTTCAAATTTTTCCTCATTCCATAATCTTTCTCTGTCTGTCTGTGTGAGGAGATATGAGTCTAACCTCACTATTTCTGCAATTTTTACGTCACGTTTGGCTTTGCTACATTTCATCACGTCCTTAAGTAGTTTCCCTCTATGTGTCTTAACATCTTCTATATGTCTCCCCTCCCATATGTCTCTCTGCTCTGTCTGCTCTGTCTGCTCTCTAGCAGTCCGTCCAGTACGTTTTAACACATATTCACGATGTTGTTTTTCCATAGATTCCATCTCCTCCTCAGAAGTCCACTCTGTATCGATGTTATGTGTTAGGGTGTCTTGCTCAGAATGTTGCGGGTCATGTGCCATCTCTCTAGTATGTAGTGTAGTTAATAGACTTAAGAGTGTATCTTAATTCTAACATCTCATGTGCAGCATGAGTTACTTTGGAATTTCACCTCAGAGCGCGTATAAAAACTTTGTATCACAGGATGTGTTGGTTCAACTCGAGCAAATAATCTTACTCCAGCTGTCTTTGTTATACACTGCTACCCTGGTATTTCCTTCAGAGTGCGTTTTTTTGTTTGTTTTACACCCGTTACAGTCACAGGGCAATGTTAGTTCACAATACCTCGGTTAACACAACAGTGATTCGTTCCTCAATTTAAGCATAAACTGTCTGCGAGAGATCATGGACGAGCCCCCACTTTGTTGTATATGTGGTGTGTGAAAATTTGATGAAAATAATGAAAATTTAATGAAATTTGAAATCTGCATGATTTATCTGAAATTATGTTAATTTGCGTAATTATATGTATAATTATGCTAATTCGGGAGCTAATCGTATTAATGTATGAGTGGGTGTGGTTATGTTAATGATAACCTTTATGATAATCAGGCCCCGCCTCGTTGACGATAATGCAATCAATCGTATGCGGTTATGCTAGTGTCAACTCGGCTTCGTTGTCTCCCCTCGTATTATCGATCAGTGTAATGCAATTATTCTCGCTTTAACGTTTATTGAGTGGATTAGTGTGTTTATCTTTTAGGTCCCCAGGTTCATATCTCTTCGCAGGATACAGTCCTTATGCAAAAATTATAGGAAAGAATCACACGACCACTTCTGCATTAATCAATTTATTTTCTAATTAAACCTTAACTCTAATATAGTATGTGAACTCTCAATCTCGGAACTTCAACACGGTATCAATACAGTATCATCACGACAGTGTGGTTTCGCTTTGATATTTCCCCCCCGCATAACGCAATTGTTGTTAGCAAGAGAGTCATTAAAACATGCTTGCAAGCTATTCTAACAAAAACCTTAACTTTATAATAAATGATTATACTTGAATTGTTCACGCAGTACCGCACTCCTTATTGATCATATGCAACCCTTATCACGTTGGTAGCACATTGGGTCATGGAACAGTTGAGTATTCTGTAGAGTACGCGAGTACATGCAGCGATTGTAAACGAAAGGTACTTTAAAGATTATACGGCGATATTCATACGAAAAATATAATCAAAAACAGTTATTCTCAAAGGCACAAATCTCAATAGATCCATCGGCAAGATTATATGACTATAGAAATGGCTTGTAGTAAGGGCAGGCGATGGGGTGCGCTTTTCCCCCCAAGATCTTTATCTTATACCAAGTTTAATTAATTGTGGACCAGATCGCCTGATAAGGATCTGGTTGGACACATCATTCCCCACGTGAGCGTGGCTCTGCGGAAGAAGGTGTCAAGAATCATTTCGTATTGATGGATCTGTTGGGAATTTATGCGATTAAGAGTACAGCCCACTAAATATTAAGGAGGAAATGATTAAACTTGTAAAATGACAAACTATTATCACCCGATCTGTAGCGATGCCTTCACGTTTAGATGCTTCTCGTTTTGGGATTGTCCTTGTTCCTGATATAAGTTATTTTGAATAGTCAGTGTTCGGAGTTGATTCTTTACGTCAAAACAGACGCCTGGTTGTCGTGTGGTGAGGGGGCGGTGCGCATCATACGTATCAGTCGATTTATCTGTCACCGTGGTGAACTGGTTCAGATGACCAGTTGACACGCTGTTGCAGTTGCGGAACTCGGTCGGTAGATGGCACCCACAGCTCGCTCGCAGCATGCACGGTGGTGTTGAGTGACCCGGTTGCGCAATCAGCGCTGGCAATGCACGTTCGTAGCCTCGTCGCTAAACAGCGACCCTCGCCACCCCGGCGGGTGGCAGAGACCACCGCGTCGGCAGAGGCCGACCCACGCAGGGGCGAGTTAAGCTGTCAAGTGGGTCTTGCCCGCCTGCAGATGAGATGGGGAGCCGAGCTCTGTTAATAGCTCAGCTTATTGAAGAATATATTGAGTACATTTATTATATTGATGTAATTTAGACTTAGGTTTTTTCACATCGGTTTAGTATATGATAGTCGAGTTGTTGAGTTGTTGCAGCCCCTTTGGCGTCCATGTACTGGGTGCCTCTGTGGATGTGTGGGCTTTGACTTTGGCATAGCTATTTCTGTGACCAGTCACGAGCTAATCCCTCAGTTATTTCAATGCTAAATTCTCCTGTTTGATTTATACTAGGTGCCTCTGTGGATGTGTAGGCTTTGACTTTAACATAGCCATTTCTGTGACCAGTCACAAGCTAATCACTCAGTTATTTCAATGCTAAATTCTCCTGTTTGATTTGTACTAGGTGCCTCTGTGGATGTGTAGGCTTTGACTTTAACATAGCCATTTCTGTGACCAGTCACAAGCTAATCACACAGCTATTTCAATGCTAAATTATCCGAACCAAACATTAAACTAATTTTCAATGGTACAGTATATTTTTTCAAGTAGTGGTATCCCAAACTTTCGCAGCAGCTTAAATTCCCTTTTCACACCATCAATATGTAAACTCCCCCTCCCCCCCTCGCCGGTCTGCACATGTTCACCCCCTCTACACCGTTCATCATGCTAAGTCCGCTAATTAAATGCTAATTTTTATGCTAATTCCTTTGTCAAGGCGCTCTGCTTCTTCTCACACAGCTTAAAGGTCACGGTCTGAGCTTGGCTGTGTTCGCTCCAGCGCTGTCCTCGAAACAGTCTCGTCCCTTCACCTGATGAGGGCCACTTGTGTTGTGGCCGAAACGTCGTGAGAATTGTATTGTTATTTTATTTTATTATTTTATTCTCATTCTACGTGACTTTACCGAAAGAACCAAAGAAGATGAATCCTTGCAGTCACGAAAGCTTTAAATAGAGCTCCGATGAGTTGAGCCCCGATGGGCCGGCTCCAGTGAGCCGACCAAACTCAGCTGAGTTCCGGAACTGACTTCCAATGTTGTAGCGTTCTCTTTTATGCCAAAAATCCCTTCACTTGGACCCTCCCCACAAGGCGGAGCTTCTTCCGATTTTTGCCGTGTCATGATCTGTCCGTATGTGTGTGTCTGTACGTGTGTCAGTGTGTGTCCTTGTGTGCGTCATTTACAGCATATTCTGTTGTCCTCCTCTTTCCATAAAACACCAAAAAGTAAAACAGACATTACAAATGTCTCGAAGGAGGCGTCTCGCTGTCTGCCTCTGTCTGCCGGTGCGAGAGGGAGGGCAAGCTTCCCTCCCTGCATCATGTCCCCGACACACGAGGGAATGGTTAAAAAGTTTTAGGTTAACATTTCAATTCACCACCATTCCACAGTTATGATTTGGTATGTAACCCAAGGTCTGTGTCAGCTTTCCGTTGTGGTGTTTGACTCATGTCAAGGGAAGGTGTTTTCCCAAGCGTATACACACTCCTACCCTGCGCTGTGGGGAGACAAAGACGGCCGGGATCTCTTTCTCTCTCTGACCCTGGGTTTAACATCGCTTAAGTCATGTAATTTATGTTTAACAAGGTTGTGTCAGCGGAGTATAGTTTACGATGAATAGTGCCAACATGAATGTTATGTATGAAATAATGTATTGTGAATTTTTGTTTATTAACTTTGCCTGGTGTTTTCGCTGACATGCTGGCACTCCAAGCATCTCTTCCCCCCGCCTTTATTTCTGCTCGCGTGGGGGTCCGCCACCCTTTGCCCCCACTCTCCTTACCTGCCCGTTGTTGCCAGGCTCTTTAGTTCACGTTGCAGTTTTGCTGTGCGCTTGTTTTTTTTCCTCTCTAACCTTATATTAACTCTGCTTATTATTAGCTTATATCTGGAGGTTAGAGCATTCATTTTGACTTAGGAAAATTCTGATTGTCATATGCTTCGGGTCAAGTTGTATAGAAATTATTAAAACATGGAAATAACATTTCATATTGAATTAATAGATGGGTGATGGTTCAATGATGTAGCTTGTGGCCTGGTTGCCAATTGGAGTGAGCGTTAGGGTCGATAATTTAGCCTATTCCTGTTGTTGAATTTCGAACTTAACGTTACTTTAATAGTAATGCAGGATAAATGGTTGGCTGTTTGGCTTGGCTGTCTGCGGCTAGCGCAAACTCTCAGTGACCCTGGCTTTGTGTTTACGTCAGTCTCTTGCAATTCGCTGCTCTGCACTCTGTCTGTTCCTTTGACCCTGGGAGTTTGTAACTGTTAAAATCGTGTCAGTAGGTCATGGTAAATGGCTTTTCATGACCTCCACATACCATGCTGAGGGCCTGGGTTGGTGTTGTTTTTATTCATTTTTTTTAAACAATAGAAATATGTATCTATGTATCGGAAAATTACTTGTTAATATTAAGATGGAAAATGGGCCTATATACAACACCATGTATAAATACAATAATCCCTCACACTGTGATTTAAAGCTTTCGTGACTGCAGTGATTCATATTCTTGGCTCTTTCGGTAAAGTCACGTTGAAGGGAAACAATAAAATAATAAAATATATTATTTAAAAATTCTCACGACGTTTCGACTGCAACACAAGCAGTCATCCATGACGTGACTTTACAGAAGAACCAAGAATATACCCTCACACTGTTTGTTTTATTTCTACAGCTGCTAGCTCGTGCTATTTCGGCAGCAATGAGTTTGGACTGCCAGAAACACCGAAGACTTGCCAAGCAGGAATGGATGCTTGTGTCACTTTTAAAATCACAGGTAAGTTTATTCTTGATTTGAAGCTTTCGTGACTGCAGGAATCCATACTCTTTGGTCCTTTCGGTAAAGTCACGTAGGTATAAAATAAAATCAATCATGACATTTCGGGCGCAACACAAGCGTCCATAATCAGGTGGGAAAGCATGGTCTGCTGCTGAGGCAGACTGTTTTAAAAGGTTTGAAATGGGTGTAGCTCAAGGGTCATAAAGAAGTGGCCGCTCTCCTATCTTACACTTACCTGCAAATGTATCACATTAACATCACTAGCCCCGGCCACTACTTTGTTACACTTGAGCTCCACCCATTTCAAACCTTTTAAAACAGTCTTCATCAGCAGCAGACCATGCTTTTCCACCTGATTATGGATGCTTGTGTAGTGCCCGAAACGTCGTGATTTATTTTATTTTATAACTACGTGACTTTACCGACAGAACCAAAGAGTATAGGTAAGTTTATATTTTAAAAACGTCTTAACAGAGACAACCGCACATTTAATCAACAACCAATATTAATCAGCTGCTGGATGATGGCCTCTCCAAACCGGCTGCCTATCTCTGGTGATTTTACGTTACAATAATCTACCGAGCGCCTGAACATGCTCAGATCATGTCGCTCCACTTGGTGAACGCGTTCCATCTCTTGGCTGCCACTCCATTGTCCTCGACCATCGCCCATCACTCCTTTAAAACCACCACGTGTCCTGGCCAAGCCCACTTGCTTTTCTAAGCAAAGAATGACGACTAGAAATTTTGCATTTAAGCGTGGAGAGATGCATTGCTTGCAATTGCACCGTGACTCAGAAAGAGGCAGGTTAGAGACATGGGGACACAAGTGGCCTTGAGCAGCAACAGAGAAGCTGGGCGGCGGTCGAGAAAAACCGAGTGGCAGCCAAGGAACGAACTTGTCTGTGAGGATGTACACAGAGCAGACGAAGCGATGAGATCTGCTCACGTGTAGGGTGGATTGTTGCATAACATGACCTTGAGAGGTGGCGGTGTTTTGATGAAGCGTTCGTCTGACAGTCAATAGACCTCCGCGGGTGATGACAAGATATTTACTTAAATGTCTCTTTTTTACGCGCTTTGATTGAACTCACTCCTCTGTCTGTTGTATCCTCAAATCTTGTAACTCAATTTTTACCCACTTCCCAATGTAGTATCGACTGCAAACTTGGTATACTTATGTCAAACTGATGACAATACTATATTCTATCATAAAAAATAAAAATATATATTTTAAAACATTACTTTTTATTATGTTATTTTCGGCTTGAGTCTAATTGTCCACGGTCAACTAACGTTGGCTGAAAATCATCACGGTCCCTTACGTTATGGCAAGCTTCGGGGCCACTTCCTGGAGTCGTGGAGTTCTTCCATTGCTAGTACGGTACATTTCATTAAAGCGTGTTTAAAAAAAACGTTTTTATTAATATTACTTATTTCTATTTTAGAAGGCACTAAGACAGGCACCGGATATGCGTGCACCAGTCAACAGAACTGCCAGAATGCTGCTGTGAACAAGGACTATCTGGAATATCAAATGAAGCTCCTGGGTTTAACCGCAACAGCAGGAAACATGGTGTGCTGCACAGGGAACAACTGCAATCGTGCGGGGGCCGCTGCTGCAGCTCACAGGATTGTGGTCTCAATGTCATCGTCACCCCATCTCTTTTTCCCCGTCTCAGTCCTCCTCTCACGCTTCTTTGCCTAAATCCTAGGGATTGCTGGGAGCAGAAACGGGAGGAGAAATGTAAGAAATGACGTAAATATAAGAATACGTTTTACTCTATGTTGCAATATAAAAGGTGTTAAGATGTTAAAAGACCAAACTAAAACTTTTTGCAAGGAATCATTTCTGCATTAACCACATATACTTGTGGTGAACATGCAAAAAATAAACAGTACATGCTCTGATACTCTGATAGTATATGATGCATTGTCTTTGAAACTGATTGGTCCACACCAGAGTCAACTTTATTTAGAGCCTAGTCTCAAACAGTGTTGGATCAGAGGACGCCAAAAGGCGCTCACAAAGACAATGCCACTGTCAGAACTATCAGAGCTTTGGGTGAGCAGCATCTTGTCTCCGATCTCGTCTCTCATCTTGTCTCCGTCTTGTCTCCCATTTTTCTTCCATCTGATATCCGTCTTGTCTCCAGTCTCGTTTCCCATCTCATATCTGTCTTGTCTCCCATCTAATTTCCCGTCTTGTCTACCGTCTTTTCTCCCAAGCAACCCTTCGTGGGTCACAGGTCACGTGGTGTCCCCAGCCTCCAGTGAGGAGGCGAAGAGGTTCAGTCCTCGCACAGTAACCCACACTGTACACATACTGTACTATACAGTGTTGCACACTACATCAATTGATTTCGTTCCCTGCACTTCTTGTACAAGCTATACTCAACAATGTAACATTTCATATTTTACATTCAGAATACGTCCAGTTTAATGTGTTGAGGTTGATGTAGGGGAACATAATACAACGGTGAGGGGAGTGTCGTATCCTGGCTTTCCCATTTGAGTTTGCGGATCACGCATTTTTCCGTTCGTGGCTATTTCCCCCCCAAAAACAATGTAACCCCGAGCCACGATGGGCAAATGGTTTACTGTGTACATGTGTTGTGGAGTAAATGATGACTCGGAGGCAAATCTTCATGTTAGGGCTTGCGCCAGTTTCTTTAAGGGCTTACGCCAGTTGCTTTATTAAAGACCTCTCTTTGCACACGACTCCGTGTACTGTACACTCACTGCCTACACTCCACACCCCAGAGAAAAGGTACTGGGGATTCCCTAGCACACCCGTAGGCTACCCTAGCCTGGTGCCAATTTCCCCCTACCCCGGGATCCCATCGCTCCTCCAGGGGAAAAGTACTGGAGAAGTCCCTAGCACCCACAGGCTACCCTAGCCTGGTGTCAATTTCCCTATACCCTGGGTCCCGACTGTGCAATACACGTTCCCGGATTCTCCAGATGACCCTGAACCCGTGACGGGTTCCGGCTTAAATCCCCCAGGGGGACATGACGTCACCGTCCCGCCCCCTGTGCATAACGTCACCATCCGTGACGTCATCATACCAGAGGGCGAGCGTGACATGACGTCACTAACTCCTACACTACATCACCCCCCCCTGTGAAAAAAAAACAGCCGACCCGGCTGCAACCATTACAAGAGCAGACCCCGGCAAACCCGAATGGGAAGACAACTCCCCACACGGGACACTGGAACGTGTCCAACGAAGGCAGGGGACGAAGAAACGGCCCGTCTGGCCATCACCGTATCCGCACGCCCCGCGAGCGTGTGCGTGATGCCGGCCGGCTCTTCCGTGCCGCGTCGGCGTCAGAATCGGCGGTGTGCTGGCAGGTGTCCAGTCCGCCGGCCAACCCGCCAGGTGAGGCGCCACTGGTGGAATTACTGTCGGGGCTTCTGCAGGCGCACACAAAGGCACGGCATCGCTCGCGCCATCACAATTCGTGCGGCCCGGCTTGGCGGACACAACAAACACCCGGCTCCTGAGTAGTGGAGATGAGGGGATTCCAAACAGCGTGAGAGAGGAGAAGAACAAAATAACACATTCAAATGCGTTGGATGCACAATCAACACCGCGATGAACCCAAATACAGTAGAACCTCGGAGATGGAATGCACCAGAACCCGAACACGTTGGTGTTGGAACAAATCAGTGTTGGAATGGCCGTCTGGAACGAATCAAGTTTGATCTCCGGGGTACCACTGTACGTTCACCTTCACCCACACAACATGGGTGGCAGGGTTCCCCGACCCCCAGCCACCATTCCATCCACTAGATGGTGATAGAGCGAAGACGGAAGAACCGTCTAGCGCTCACTTACTGCACGACATGCACCCTAACACGGAGGGATACAGTCTCAACGGAACCGGACAACAACGCCCGAACACCACGAATCATCAGCCCTCTCTTGCAAGCCCACTAGGCTATCCACACCATGGAGTGTTTCAATCTCCGGGCGGCCAGGTAAATCCGTCAGCCATAGCATGACGGGACCACAACTGACATGTTAGGCACGCAACACCCCCTGGACCCTCCTGGTCAGGATCTGCGCCCCAAGAAATTTGACAGCCAGCACCACAATTCTAACCACCGGCAGCATGTCATCATCTTAATTTAAATGCTTCGTACCAATGACGACAGAGCCACACACCAAGGCAATCATCCCCCGCACAATTGCAATCTCACACGCTCACAACACATACAATTTGAACCTTGCATTTCAAAATCCCCCTCAACATTTACCATGAGACTCAGGCATTCCAGTTTGAGGAGCAAAAAAAAATAATACACAAAACGCCCAATAATCGCCGAATGGGGTAATACAGTATATGCAGTCTATGCAGTCTGCATACAGCCAACCATCTCGAGTAATGTTCCATACAGTCTATAGACTGGTAACAATCACAGCACAGCTATACATTAACAATGATGAACAGTTTTCCACAGTCACACGTTGACAACACTCACAAGCGAAACTCCATACTGTGTACCCAAAAATCATCACGACTCCGCAATGGCAACCAACAAGTGTTAACAAATCATTAACCCGGCAATCCACTGGATCTTAACGGATCCCGATACTCCCCACCTAGCCGAATTAATCATTAACTGGCTCCTTGATATAACAATCCCGACGCCGTAATGAACCAATAATGTAACACGTGGACACCTGACATGAACGTCACGGATAGACGCAAGTTATTAAGAGAAATCTGACGCCCCGCATCCCGGCGGGAAACCAATAAAAAAAATAACATGAACTCACAATCCGGTGCACGCAAGATGGATGAGGTGTCAACAGGGGCCGGTGTGTGTCTTGTCACGCCTCGCCTGACAAGCCGTGACGAGCAGAGGATAGCAGATTGGAGTGCTGGGATGCCCCAAAGAATCTTGCATGCCGACCACGGACTCCTCTTGCGACTGTAGCCACCACCCACGCTTGAGCAGAAGTCGGGGCGCCGCTCGAACGTGTGGAGCTCCGCCTCCACAGATGTTGACGTCCGTGGGAACGGCGTTTTGGAGGGAACAGCGTCCCAGCCAGCCGCCGAAATGGTGGCCCCACCGCAGCCCCCGCATGCCCTCCAGGCCTCCTCCGCCAGCCCCCCGCAGCAACGATGGCGTCCTCTCCTCGCGGCTCCTTCCCGCGCAACAGCTGCTTCAGCAGCAGGCCGCGCACCATTTGGCACCTCCAAAATGGAGTCGTTTATAATCTGATGTATTTTAAGGTTGCAGGTAATAGGGTACCCATTAAAGGGCTTATAGTTGAGACAATTAAATTCACAGAACTGTCGCAGACCATTCATTAAACAATTCCGGATAAGGACCTCACGACGCCATAGAGTAGTGAGATGTTAACTCCCTCGCCTGGTATGTAGGGGTCTAAGTTCGATCTTCACCATGATGCCTGCTGTATATTTGGAGTTTGCATCTCTCTTTCTCGCCGTGGTCGTGAGGATTTTTCTCCGGGTCCTCCGGTTTTTTTCCTTCACATTTAAAACATTCGTTTAGATTATTTAGATTATTTCGGTTATTTTGCTGCTATAATTTTCCACGTGATAATAAGCCACTGCAACTGCATTCAGTTATAATTTGTGATTGCCAGGTCACTTCTGAGAATGAGCTGTATAGCTTAGTTGACCTTACTTTTTAAAATATGATTTAAAAAATAGTTGAATTTTAGTTTGTATATGCATGTGTAGTGGGCAATAAACTAGAGGAAGCTTACTCTGAGGAAACACGTTTAATACAACACCAACAGACTACAACACAAAGGGGTAACGGCTCCTTCCACCCGATACTCTATGGAGGGAGTCTTTCCGGGCTAGCTCGCCTCTTAATGGCTATCACTACGCCTACACTGCTGGGGCTTGGGTCTTCTCCTGAGTCTTCACTGGTTATAAGCTGGAGCTCTCACTGGTACGAGCTCAAGCCGACCCAAGCCAGGGGTTCGGCTCTGCCCATTGGGCTCTACTCTTCAGGGCTCCAGGTGAGGGTCTTTGGCCGGGTGATGACTGTCGGGACCACTGAGGGACCTGGCTTAAATACAGGGTCCCGGCCCACTCCGCCCCTAGCCACGCCTTCCTTCCAGGACCTTCTCGAAGGGCCTGGATAATTACATAATCCCCCAGCCCCATTCCTGGGGTCTGGGGTCCCGGCCGTTGGTCACGATGCTCCCCCCAGGGATTGCCTAGGGCCAATGGCCCGTCATCTTTATCCACCAGGTTCAGCCTCCCTTCCGCTCCCTACTGGCACAAGCTAGTACTGCCGGCTATAGGTAGTGGCGATCATGTTCAACCATGCCACTACATATGCATTAAGGTGTTATTTATGCTATTCTAATTGTTATGGGATATCTTGATTTGATTTAAGTGCATTTTTAATAGTTCACTATTATTTGTCGGTTATTTATGGGTGACAATGGTGCACAGTGGTAACCAATCATTTCGTCCTACACTTTATATAAGTATGTCCAACTTCAATCCTCGACCCGGAAGCCTTCTGTGAATATAAATGTGTCGTTCATCCACCACCAGCCGACATAGCCAATTCGTAAGGTTTGTCACATAAACAAAAACAAACCAGTATGTTAGAGAGTAAACCCACTAAATTTACACCGGTGAGCTAAATTAACTAATTGACACGTTTTGTCTGTGGCAAACCTTAATAATTGGCTGTGTCAGGGTGTTGTGAGTTAACGACACATTTATAATTGTGCAATATAACCCAAAAAACCTTTATTATGAATAAAATTGGTCGCGAAAGCCTACTACTACTTGTGTTAAACTGGAGTTGTTCTGTAGATTTGAGTGTGCGAGTTGGTGTGTGTGCATGTGAGAGTGTGAATGAGAGCATGAAAGTGTATAAGTGCTTTAGATGTTAGTTTTTTCTACCCCCTGTTCTGTATGGGTTAATTTCGAGTTGTCTTGTTTCCCCTGAACACAAAAAAATACACTCTCACTAGTATTGGCTAAAATGTGGCAATGATGAAAAATTACCTATGCTAATTTACTGAATTGGGATCACGCATGTTGTGGAGCCACAGATAACAAGGCCCACACTCTATATACTCCTAATCTATATGCAAACTCTGGCAGTTATGGACACCAGTCTGTGACTGCATTAACGTGTCAATTGTGGCCGTTATTCTGTTATATATGTCTTTCTCCATGTCACTCATTTAATTGTAGAGATACATTATGTTCTTATGCATGTTTAATTTTTTTCACACCGTACGTAGCGGGGAAGGACAACAAACTGAACACAAAAAAGAAGTGAGTTTGTCAATCTAGATGATGATTTATAAGTGCATAGCTCCCAGTGGATTCCTAATATCGGAAGGAAGAGTGTTCCTGACGGCCGCAGAAGCCCACCTGAATGAGCCACACGATGCAGTGACCGTCTTTCATTCGACGGCTAGCCAAAAGCAGGATGATTGGAGTTCGCATGGTGGATTTATTGCTCCTTGATGAGACTAGCGAGGTACCATAGGTTCATTGGTGGCGACCACTTTGTGAGTGTGATGAGCACGATCATGTCGTGTATTCATTCAGCAACCGGAAGCCAATGCAGTTCCATTCGCTGGCGGGGTGGGTGAAGTCAGCCTTCTCGTTGCCCATCCTGTTACGTGACCGAGCGAAGTCCATAACTAATGACATCGCTAAGGCAACCATATGTAGCCAGTTGACCTCTGGGTTACAGCATAAAGAACGAGCCTGGCAAGAGAGGTCCTCCTCAGGGCCAGATGAGCCAATCCATCGGCCCCTCGGTTCGTATATGTCAGCTAAATGTTGAGTATTACTCTGATAGTCCGTTGTCTTTGAACTGTGCGCCTTTTTGCGTCATCTGGTCGAACACCTTATGTGACTAGGCTCTAAGGAAAGCTGTCTCTGGTGTGGACCAATCAGTTTCAGGGACAATGCATACATTTTAAGTGTTGTTTTTTGTTTGCATTTTGACTGCAAGTATTGTGGTTAATGTAAACATTATTCTTTGCAAAAGCTTTGAGTTTTGTCACCAGAAAAAATGGGAAAACCCCTATTTATTATATTTTGGTACTGGCAAAGGAGACCTCATGATGAGGATAAAATTAATCTGCAACAGAATGAATGATATGTTATGTTTTTGATTTCGGCTCATATATAGAGAAATGGGCAAAACTTTGGCCATTAACGATTCAAGCTCGATTAAAAGGGAATCGACGTGGCTCGA